CCTCTCCTCTGCCTTCAACCCCGCCATCACCTCTGCCTTCAACTCCACTATCACCTTTGCCATCACCTCTGCCTTCAACTCCACCATCACCTCTCCTCTGCCTTCAACCCCGCCATCACCTCTGCCTTCAACTCCACTATCACCTTTGCCATCACCTCTGCCTTCACCTCCGCCATCACCTCTGCCACCACCTTTACCATCACCCCCTGCCATCTCCTGAGTCATCATTTCTACTATTATCTCCGCCATCAGCCCCGTCATCTCCTCTGCCACCACCGGACAAGGTCACACAGCAATGGCGAAGCTGGAGTCAGGACCCCAGATCTTCTGACTCCTTTTCCAGGCCCTTTCCAGCAACACAGAAAACAGACTGTTGGTGATGCTCCTTCAAGTGTGCGGGATTATCATTTACTATTTGATTAGGGAAGAGTTTGATGATGTCAACTAAAAAGACCAAGAGTCTCATGGTCGGAAGAAACGAGGCGGGTCACAACGATGCCAACCGGCCGAAAAGCCCAAATGCGAAGTGTCTGATGACAGCAGACGTGCGCCTCTGGGCGGGGCTCTGCTCGGTTCGTCTGCCACCACCAGGACAATCATTCTGTAACGCCACTTGGACCTTAGGAAATGCGAAAGTGCTTTAAACTATTTTTGCAAATAGAATTTTTTAGATGACAAGTTTAAAAATATATAAGGATAAAACGTCTATGTCACTTATGGGAAAGTTAATGTCCTAACTTCCTCATGAGTTCAATGGTCATTACAGAATCTCCACACCCCGGAAGTGAGAATACAGAGAAAGTTGCTCACCTTTGCCGCGTCAGATATGGAGTCCCAGTTCCCTCCAGAAAGGGCATACTTCCCACTGCCAATCCTTGCCAAAATCTCCTCGGGAGTATCATCTGGCCCATTTGCAAAAGGGGTAAATCTGTGTAAGGAAACGTTTACAGTAATGAGCATCCACTGTATCATCTAAAGCAGAGTTTACAGCTTGATGGTGCTGCTTTCTTGTTAGAAGAATAGCTAGTCTCTTTCCCGTTATATTCCAAATCCAATGCCTAACGAGTCAAGGTAAGGCGTAACGTATTTCTTAATGCTGGATCCATTCTCCTCACCTGGGCAAAGCTACAGCCCGATAGGGCAAGTGCAGAAAGCTCTGTGGAGCCCACGGATTAGCCTTTGCTGGAGCATTTCTGGTTTCCCTGGTGACAGTGTGGCCCGGAAGATGAAAGCCTGAGATTTGACATCTGAGAGACCCATGTTTAAGCCTCAGGGCTCTATCACCAACTCAGTTCTTTAACAAATTGATTTTTTGAGTCTCGATGGCAAAATGGGTAGAAGAATATACTCACAGGACTCTATGAAGGTTACATGGATGAAAACATACAAAATGCTTGGTACAGTACTTGCCGTATTGCCAGTGCTTAATAGATGTTCATTCTGTCTCCCCTTAACAGAAACCAGGGCATGTCAATATATGCTTTTCTAGAGAAAGTACAACCAGAATGCTCCTTAGAAGCAAGGATGGTGAGACTACGTCTCATATACTTTGGACATGTTATCATAAGGGATCAGTCCCTGGAGGAGGGCATCATGCTTGGTAAAGCAGAAGATCAGTGAAAGAGAGGAAGACCCTCAATGCGATGGATTGACACAGTGGTTGTGACAATGGGCTCCAGCATGACAACAACTGTGAGGATGGCACAGAAGTGGGCAGTGTTTTGTTCTGTTGTACAAAGGGTCGCCGTGAGTTGGAATTGACTCAACGCACCAAACAACACCAACAGGGAAGGAATGACATGATCCTCAGCACTTCCTTTAGTGGCCAAGTCTGTGATCCTAGTTTTATGTGTAAGCACCGTGAGTATCAGAAGACCCACAAGTAATCTCAGAGTGTGGGACCAGGAAGACATGGCGCTCCTTCCTTTGCCATCACAGTTCTCAGACATGGCCCAGGTTCACAGGCTGCTGTCCTTGAACTGCTGACACTCACGACCAAGTCTCATGGAACCCTTCATGAAGGCCACACGAGAAGCAAGCCATTCTCCTGAATTTTCATGGCCATCTGCTATAGCAAACAGGACTGGATGGTCTAGGGTCCCTGTTCGCCGCCTCTCGAGTATCTGATAAACTCGAAACCACTGGGAACCAGCGGATCTCTTAGGATCACAGACCTTCAAGGCTGGAAGGAACCTGAAGTGCTATGCAGTGTCCTCTTCTCACGCAAAACGTGAGGGAGGTGAGGCCGGTGAAGGGACAGCGGTTAACCCAGAATGCAGAGCCAGTGAACACAGAGCTAAGACAGAAATGACACGTCCAGCCTCAGACCAATCCTCTTTATGTAACACCACTGGTACAGGCTGAACTGTGTCCCCCCAACAATACATTCAAGTTCTAAGCCCTGTCCCTGTGAACAGCACCATGGGTGGAAATAGGGTCTTTGAAGACGTTATCAGTTAAGGTCACATGAGGCCACACTGCAGTAGGGCGGGTCCTAATCCAATATGAGTGGTGTCCTTACAGAAGAGGAGAAGAGACACAGACAGAGGGAAGACGGGCACATGATGACCAAGGCAGAGATCAGAGTGATGCAGTTAGAAGCCAAGGAACACCTGGGGCTCCCAGGAGCTGGAGAGACAAGAAAGCCTCCTCCGCTAGAGCCTTCAGAGAGAGCATGGCCCTGCGGACACCCTGAGTTCAGACTCCTAGCCTCCAGAGCTGGAAGAGAATACATTTCTGTGGCTTAAAGCCACTTCGTTCTTGGTGCTTTGTCACAGCGGACCCAGGACACCAGTACAGCCACAGTGTCTTCTCACGACAAACTGGTACATAAACATCTAACTGTCATGAGAGCCGATTACAGAGCCATTAACTGACTGCACTTTCAGAAACACTGTTTGACCCCAAAGTGTTATGGATGCTTCCTGGCTCCAGACGATGTGTCTAAGGAACAGAGGCTGTCACTGTTCAGAACGTGGCACGAGCAGGGCAGAAACGCGGAGCACGCCACCACCAGGTGCGGACGCGTTCCTTATGCGAGCAATCCTCTAGCCCCGGTTCTCTCAGCACGGGGCTAAGTTCCTTATCCTTCTTCTCTAGCTGTTCTGAAAGGACTAAGGAGGTTTGAAGGAATTTGATCAAGACCTTCGAGTGACTGTGTATGCCCGGGTGTTTGCTAACACCAGCATACCAGGCAGAGGCACCACAAGGAGAAACCCCAGGGGCCAGCCAGTGAGACCCACACAAGGCCACAGATGGAGCCCCCACTGGACAGCCCATTACCCAGCCAGCGTGGTGTGTAAACTCATGGGCCCCTAGTGGACAGCCCATTACCCGGCCAGCGTGGTGTGTAAACTCATGGGCCCCTAGTGGACAGCCCATTACCCGGCCAGCGTGGTGTATAAACTGATAGAGCATGGATAACCCATTACCCGGCCAGCGTGGTGTATAAACTGATGGAGC